CTAATTAACTTTTTTTGAAGAAACCATAACTGCATTATTCGAACTATGACAAGTTCTAGCCGGTCAAAATAATCGAGTATAAGTGTGTAAGTACAAGAGTGCCAATTCTCTCACAACAGGGAAAACGGGGTTATCAATTTATGATGAAAATTACATGTTTTAATACAATGTAAATAAAAAGCGAGTGTTAGGCACAAAAGCTATATTCGTACTATGACATTTGCAAATAGAGGTCAATGTTAGCGAACAAAGACGGTTGGCGGTGGTCGGCGGTCGGCAACGGTTTATGGTGGCTGACGAGCGGTGGTAGATGTATGGTGATTGGCGACTACAAAAATAAATAATTATCGTCGGGTCTTCAATTCATGCGTTAGACACAAATGGTCGTATTCAAACTACAATGTTTGCAAAAGATCGTTGGTAACCTATGGTTGATAGTGGTCGGCTCCCATTGAGGCCCGTGGTTATCACCGGGGGGGGGGGGGGGGGGTCATTTAAATTTTTTGGTGAATAATTTCTTCAATCACTTGATTTTTATCCTCATTAATCATAAGAGATTTTTAACAATTTGAATGTCTTAATGCTCTTATAATTTAATAATATTGTGCTCACCGGGTTCACATGGTCTAGATGCTCGTTTCGACTATAAATGCATCAAATTGGGGTTTATTTGGCCTTTCAATTGACGATCCAAAGCCTCCAAATATGCTTCGATAGCTTGATTTGGGTTTGGTTGGACTCAAAGAGCTTGAATTTGAATTTAAAACATTTATTATTTAAAAACACATGTAAATTCGCGTCAGATAATAAAAATTTGTTGATGACGCATCCAATCTAATTTGTTATTTGTTCTACTCTGTATTATTAATAATTAATTATATTTAAATTTGACTTTTTAATCTTAAAATATTTATTTATTTACCAAATATAAATACAAACCAATTAATTTATTTAGAATAATTTGATTATTACCTACATTCCCTACTCCTTATAGTGACGAAGATAAATATTTTTATTGCATGTAAATGATTACAAATAGTTCTCTCACCAAAAAAAAAAAAAAAAAAACAAAATAACTTAAATTTCAAAACTCTTTTGAATCTCACTCTCTATTATTCTTCCATTTCTTTTCTTTATTTTCTTTCTCCTCACTTACTCTCCTACCTCAAAGTATCCCATTGATCAATTGCTTATAAACCTGTGAACTTCGTTAACAATACATTTTCAATTAAACAATCTCTCTCTCTCTCTCTCTCTCTCTCTCTCTCTCTCTCTCTCTCTCTCTCTCTCTATCTCTCTCTATATATATATATATATATTGATACGACTCCATCAAATTTCCATCATCCGACACAAATCTTAAGAAATGACATATAGAGGTAATTTTTTAAACAAAAAATATTTAAACATCGATAAAAATCATCCAAAACTCTAATTTAACAAACTTACAATCAAACTGGCTGGTTCGACAAGAAGAACCCAATGTTACAAATAGTCGTATGTTCCTACACCACTAGAAGAGGCAGGATGAGTTGTCTGAGCCACCCTAGCATTTATTTTGGGGTCGGCTTGTTTTTTTTTTCTTTTCAGTGACTTTTTTTTTCTTTGACTAGAGTTTTCTTTGTGATCTTCTAGCGCCTTATGTACTCTAGCTTAGTAAGTTCAATACCATATTGATCATAGATTCCTCCTCTTCCTCAGATCAACATGCTGGCTAGGTGTTATCCTAGACCAGTGACATTAAAAGATCTACAATATTAGTTCAATCTGAGTAAAATCAAGCTCAGATCAAGTCATTGAACCATTCTTGAAAGTTTTCTGGGCATATTTTAAAGGTCAAATGAATGTCGAATCTAGCAGGCCTATTGTCGAATCGAGCATCTTGATGAAAAGATTCAAACTAGCTCAACATTGCTCAATTCCGACATCGCTTAAATACTCAAATGTTCATCAAACGCCGTCGGCTCAATGGAAACTCTCCAGACCGTTCGATCAAAATGGTTCATATTTCTGCATTAAAATGTACCCAGAAAACTATAAATAGTCTTAGCCTTCTCATGAGAAGGGGAGGAGAGTTTGAAGCATGAAGAAAAACTTGAAATTTTAAAGAGCGGAAGTCCCGCATCACTCCAGTCATCGTTGATCTCCGCCGACTGTTGTCGACCACATCCTGTCGGCCTCCACCTATTGCCGTCACCCACTGCCCACTTACAAAAAGTTTATTCGTGCAATGATGTTGTAAATCCGAAAAGTCTTTAACCCTTTCCCGCCAGTAACACGAGGGGATACACATGTAATATACAGTTTATAGTAAATTCCTTCCACCTGGTCAAACCCCCAGGTTTTTTTTTTTTTTTTTACTGATCTTTCACATAAAATCTTCTAGTGTCACTACTGATTATTTTCTTTTATCTGAATGTGCGTTGAATTCTTATGCAATACTAAGACTATAATACATTACTCTACCTCCATAAATTTTCTAGCATATATAATTTATTCGTCAAATAATTCATATATTTTTTTTAATATATTACTTTTTCTAACATGCGTGGCCTCAATTTTTATTTTTATTTTTATTTTTGTTTGTTTTTTTTTCCTGCAAACTCAATAAATGATCCAAAAATTTAAAATTTTTCATTCGAACTCAATCGTTCGCTTATAGAATGAACCAAATTATTAATGATTTTATTTTTATTTTATTTTTGAATTTTTTAATGAAATGTTTAGCTAAAGCACTCTACCAAATGTGAGAAAAAGGCTTCAACCCAGCAAAGCCATTGTCCCAGTTTGTTCATCTTTCAATCTACCCATTCCTTCTGTAAGACTCAGCCGTCACAACAAACAGCCATTAATTAGCCGGGCATTCAACCACCAGACCAAACTATTCCAAGAAATAATAATAATAATAATAATAATAATAATAATTTTGTCATATTAATTAATTAATATTTTGTTTTTATTAATTAATTAATGTTGACGGCATGTTGTTGACCCAACCCTCTTATTCATTCTCCCTTCTTTCTTTCCCAATTCCCATTTGTTTGGTTGACAATACCACCGTCCATATTGTTCGAAATGGTCAACGAATTGCATTGACTAATTATTCTAATTTTTTTTTTTTAATTATAATGTCTATTATTTCGATTTTTTTTTTTTTTTTGTAGATTTCATTCTGTTCATACATAAGACTTTTTGAGAGATTTTTTATTAATTACAAAAGGATCTAAATGGGTGTTCTGTAAATAGCAATATTTCATGTGGTATATATGTAAATAAATATTAAGAACTCGCTTTCTCTTATTAATGTTGAGATATTAAGAATTTTGCATAATTTTTTTTTTCTTTTTTAATGGCAGACATGATTTTTTTATTTTCCAAAAGGTGGAGTGCCGCAGAACAATTCAAATATAAGTTTTAGGGTCCTTTTGAGGCAGCTTATGCGGTGACGTTTTGAAAACGCATTTGACCTGTTTGGATAAACTGCGTTTTGACAGCTTATGCATTTTGAAAATGCTGAAAGCAGCGTTTTCACACCGCAACTAAATAGGTGCGGTAACGACTTTCTGGCAGCGGTTTGACTTTTCCAAAAAAAATAAAAAATTTATAATAGTCACTTATCAACAAATTATTTTCAATCGCTTATTAGCAGATTATTCAATAAGCTACTGCTGCCCCAAATAAATTCCTAATTAAATGAGCTTCACATCTACATAGCCATCTCGTGTGAAAGCAGTTGTGACTTATTAATTAATTAAAAGAGATTTTTGTATTTCTAAAATTCAAAATTGTAGCCATATATAAATAATTTGCCATTATTTAGTAAGAAAACGTTATGCCACGTCAGAAAATTCAGCTCGCAAAAATATCTCAAAAAAGTAAAAAAAAGCTTGCTGTGAGAGTGTTACGTGCACACGAAATTGTGATGCATTCAAATTTTATATATTATAATATTATACATATTATATAATAGTTTGTATGGTACTGATAAGCATCAACAAATTACATCATCGAGTATAAATCTTGAAGTAATCATTTGAGCAAGAAGTATTTAAACCTTAATAAAAGTCATTTTTAGAGCTCGTATTTCAGTAAATTTATAGTCAGATTGACCGGCTTGATGAGACGGATCCGATGATACTAAAATTGATCTAATCCAAGTCAAAACAAGCTCAGATCAAGTTATCAAACCAGCTTTAAAAGCTTCTCAAACATATTTGGGAGGTAAAATGAACGTCGAATCTGACGAGCATCTCGATAAGAAAAATCCAATTAGCCTAAGAGTGCTCCAATTTGACATCATTAAGTTACTTAAGTTTCTATCAAACATCATTTGATCAAAAGAAACTCTCTAGAACGTCAATCAAAATGATTCATATTCTAACATTAATTGCACTCAGAGTTCTATAAATAGAGCCTCACCCTTCTCATGAGAATATGGGAGAGTGTTTGAGGCATGATAAAGAGTTTGAAGTTTTGAGAAATGGTTGAATTCCAGCATCACTCCAGCCATCATCGGTCACTGCCGAACACCATAGACCACCACTTACCGTTTGCGGTCAATCGTCATCGATTACCGCTCATATCTTTCGACATTATAACTCTTTCCTATTTTTGGGACGAGAGACTTTACTTGTATCTCAAGTTTTTACTTGATCTTTTAGGCTAGGCAAGGCATTATAATTTTTTTCTTTATAGATTTTTCGAGCAAATATTTCTCATATCTCTACTAACTGTCCCTTTAATTTGAGTGTGTGTTGAATTCTTGTACAATACTATCACAATTATCCATTGCCGCCTAGAATCTCCTAACAAGTATCAAACATGTATAATATTGTTATACATAAAATTCGAGTCCATCAGAATCTGATTTCGAAAAATTTACATAAATGTATGGTATGTACAACAGTTTTTACATGAAAACCGAAAGCAATAAAAAAACATTTTTTTTTCCGTTTGGAGGGTAAAACCGACCATCCAGCTCTCAAAACCCGACTCGAACCTTCATATAAACCGAACAGCCGCATCGCCTTCTCTGCAAGCGCAACCCCCCTCTCCTCCCTAACAGCAGGTTCTCATTTCTCAATTCTCACGCAAGAAGTACTAATCCCAATTACGCCATGAAAGAAGAACACCACCGCTTCCCCTCAATCGCCAACTGCGATCTCTCCGGCCGCGAAACTCACGCCGTCGCCGCCGATCTCGACGGAACCCTCCTCGTCTCCCGCAGCTCCTTCCCTTACTTCTTCCTCCTAGCAGCAGAAGCCGGCAGCCTTTTCCGCGCCGCTCTCCTCCTCCTCCTCTCCCCCCTCATCCTCTTCGTCTACAGACTAGCCTCCGAAGCCGCCGGAATCCAGATCATGATCTACATCGCGGTCGCCGGAATACCGATCCGAGACATTGAGCTCGCCGCTCGCGCCGTGCTTCCGCGATTCTATGCCGCGGATGTTCGACGGGATAGTTATCGCGCTTTCCGGGCGTGCGGGCGGCGGAGAGTGGTGGTGACCGCAAATCCGACGGTGATTGTGGATCCGTTCGTGAAGGAGTATTTGGGAGGGGATCGGGTGCTGGGAACGGAGCTGGAGGTGGATTTGAAAACAGGGAAGGCTACAGGGTTTGTGGCCGGAGCAGGGGTGCTGGTTGATGAAAGGAAGCGGGATGCGGTTCGGAAGGAGTTTGGGGATGATTTGCCGGAGCTAGGGATTGGGGATCGGGGATCCGATCATGCGTTTATGGCGATCTGCAAGGTTCGTACACTCATTTTCCCCCTTCGTTTTTCCCTACTGTTTTGGTTCTTCGCTGCCGCAGACTGGTTCATAAAAGCGCCTTCTTAGTTTTCTAAATAAAACAAAAGTATAGCGTGCAAGCATTAAGTCCCACGTAATGCCTTTTTTAAATCTTCTTTAAATATTTGGCACTTGTTTAATTGACAAGGAATTGCATTCAAAAAAATTACAGAGTTGATATATAAACTTATTAGTAAAATATCATGATCATATTCAAATATATGCATGAAACTATATGGATAAAAATATGTATTTTATTTTAAAAAATTAATAATAATAATATTTTTATATAATATGAGAAATTTGAATGTTATGAATGTAAATATCAAAGTATTAACTTCCTTCCATTTGATTTTTAATGAGGTTAAAAGGGCTTTCTTTATGTTTTAGAAATGTTGTACAAAATAATATATAAATATATATGCTACGTAAAGATTGAGTTAGAATATCGATATTGCAAATTTATAAGCGAGTTTAAATAAAATATATTGGAATTGTAACTTTATTCTTACGTTTAATAGGACCTAGATTGACGAGCAAGCCAAAGAAACTTTCATGCATACGACAGAATTAGGACCATAATGTATAGAAACATAAAGGCAGGATTTTTCTAAGTATATGATACTGTCGAATCATGTTAGTACGTAGAGTTATAATTATTGAATTCATATAATTCATAAGAGATAAATGAGGTGAGTGAAATGAGTGAAAAGAAGTAGAAGATTTGGAGAATTGTGTCTTGCCAATATTGGATGTAAGGTTGTCTTTTGTTGAGTCGAGAGTTAGACTCAATTAAATGACAGAATAAAGTGAAAGGAGTTCTCATAGAGACAATTCATTTATAGAGATCTATTTTGTACAATCACTTAAATAAGGGAATAGTTGTGAAAACAGTTTTTAATATGTTTAATGCTCTAAAAAATTATATGAATTTTATTTCATATCTATATTACAATTCAAATTTTTATATGATAGTATTTGGTTATCGATTCATTAGAATGCGATCGATTGAGACGATCGACTAGATGTTGACCGTGTATTGTGTTTGGTTGACCGAGGCGTTCGGTTGAACAAAGATCTCGTTCGCTGTGGCAAGGGAAAGTCAATCATCTGAATGTGATCAGGAGGTTTTTGTCTGCGCTTCGGTCGGTCGGTCGGTCGACTGATGAGTCAATTTATTTTTGTTGGGTGAGTTGTGGCTCACTGTTGATTTGGCTTAAGTCTTACTGGGTCTACGTCTTATCTATCTAGTCGGTTTTTCGCCTCAGTCGGATATCCCTATTTGTAAGGTTTTAAGCTTATCATGTCGTTGCTTGTGTGTGATATCCGATGAGACTTGACTCTCAGGGTGTGTTCACAAAAGACTTTCAGTGATCCAACATTCTAAAAGGTGGTGCGGTTAGCATGTACATGTCCTAGATGGGAAGAGGAGCTAACTACGAAGGAGAAACCTCCCAAAGAAAGATAAAACACATGGAATTCCAGTTGGTCTTTTGACTTTATTTACTTATATGCTCTAATCCTCTTCTATAAACAGAACTTAGGGTTCATGAGAGACTTGAGGTGAGAGGTATGGTGAGATGTACAAAAGTTGTAACTCCAAATCTTTTTCCTTTCCCCATATGGTGCTAGTTAAATCTCTCTCCCCGTGGTCGTAGGCGAATAAATTTAACGTGAAACCACGTAAATCTTTTGTGTTTTATTGTTGTTGTGTGAATTTCTTCGTTTTCATATTATTTCTGCATAACACATGGACAGTAATGGGTTGGAGTTTTCTTCGTCCTGCCATAAAGACTACTTTGAAGAATTGCTCAATGAACTTGAGAGTGTTACTCGAAAGCTACATGTGAGCTTAGGGAAGAAACTCAAAAAGTATTAGTGAGCCGGGGCGGAGGAGCTCGCCATGCCCTTCTGAGTGACAAATCTTATAGTTGTAACTTAAAGGGATATGGTTGGCAAGTACAATCTACTTGCAACTAGGCTTTAGGTTCGCGACGATTAGGCTTGATCGATTAAACCCAAATGACCTGAATCCTTAGGAAACCTATTTTTTGGATGTACAAATACTTAATAGTAGAATTAATTAAAAATTAAAATAAAATGGGAGGAAGGGTTGGCACAAATGTTACTTTATGAGAAAAAAACAAACTAAAAATATTAAAAAAATATTTTAATCACGAGAAGATTAATTGACATTGGTGAAATGCTACTATGCTGGTTATGCAAGATTTCTCCTTTTATTTACAAAATCATTATCAAATTGCATTATTATTATTTTTTTAATTGCCAGACAAATATGGAAATTCATAATAAAATTTTAGTCTATATTCTTTCATTTATATGATATTCCAATATGATAAATTTGTAAATATTAATGTTTTGGATGGTCTGTATGTAATTTGATATAGTAATCCGTATTTGTTGCTCTAATATGGCTGCACCACTGAAACAGGAGGGTTATATGGTTCCACCAAACCGGTCCGCCCCACGCGTGCCACAAAACGAGCTCCAGGCTCGCACGATCTTCCACGACGGCCGTCTCGTCCAGCGGCCGGAACCCTCGGCGGCTCTCCGAGTCCTTCTCTGGTTCCCTCTCGGCCTCCTTGTAGCATTATTCCGCGTCTTCTTCAACCTCCCCATCCCCCCACACCTCGTCCGCTACACCTACCGTCTTACCGGCATCCGCCTCTCCATCCGCGGCCATGCACCGCCACCTTCCACCCCCGGCTCCCTCCTCGTCTGCAACCACCGCACCGCTCTCGACCCCATTCTCGTCAGCATCGCCCTCGGCCGCCCCGTTTCCTGCGTCACCTACAGCATCTCCCGCGTCTCCAGCTTCCTTTCACCCATTCCTAACGTCCCCCTCTCCCGCGATCGCGCCACCGATGCCGCTCGGATCTCCGACCTCCTCCGCCGCGGCGACGTCGTCGTCTGCCCCGAAGGAACGACTTGCCGCGAGCCATTTTTGCTCCGATTCAGCGCTCTGTTTGCGGAGCTTAGCGATCGGATCGTTCCGGTGGCCATCAACACGAAACAGAGCGTGTTCTACGGGTCGACGGTAAGGGGGTTTAAGTTTGCGGATCCTTTTTTCTTTTTCATGAATCCGAGGCCGGAGTACGAGGTGACTTTCTTGCCGCCGTTGAGGAAGGAGGAGACTTGCGGCGGCGGGAGGTCGGCGATTGAGGTTGCGAACCATGTGCAGAAGGTGATTGCGGATGAGCTTGGGTTTCAGTGCACGGAGCTTACGAGGAAGGATAAGTATCTTAGGCTTGGAGGGTATGATGGGAAGAAAGGGTGAGAGATGCTCCCAAGGTGTTTGATGAAATGCCTCACCCTTCAATGTTAAATTTTTTTATTAAATTATTATTATTTTCTTGCTTTTGTTGTTGAAATATTTGCTCAATAGCGTAATTTGTTCGATGAAATGTCCAACGGGTACTGATTTAATGGCATGGCAAATGCTGTGATTGTTGCTATGTAAAACTAGGGCTAATTCAGTTTCAAACGGCTCTATTTTTCTCTTTATGGGAATATTTCAACATTGTGGTCGTATGCTCGTATTCATTTCTCAAAAGTTTGTTCTCAATATTTTCAAATGATTGTCAGCACATTGTAAATATGAAATATTCTGATGAACAGTAAGTCTGGGAGAGAATAAGCTCTCTTGAGGAAACATAAAATACCTTTTTTTTGTCCCAATTTAGACGGGCTTTTACTAGGGTATTTTTAGCATTTCACCATAGATTATATTTTCTCTATTTTTTTTCTATATGTTCGACGGACTTCAATCCGTTGGCTTGGCTTGGTTTAGGCTTGATATAATTCTCCTAGAGCGTCCCGAAATGATTGGCTATAGCTCGGGCCATTCTGTCTAGAGATATTTGTGTTGAGAGTCCTTGCTTTAAGTCAGCTTGAGTCTTGGCTCAGTCTGCCGACCCAGTCATCCTGCGGCCTTTCTTGGTTCTCAGTTGGACCCGTTGATCTTTTTTAGAGATCTCTTCCATCACACTCTTATTTTGAGACGGTCATTTTTTTTTTTGAGATTTGTGCTGTCACCTTTTTGATGTATTGGTACATATATACAAAAGGAATAATATCTTTTTGTCATAAGCAACTACGGCAAAGCTGATGCTGATGCACAACTGAACCAACCAAATAAACACACAACTTCACCAACAACACCTTTCCCGCAATAATTTTTTCAAAACCTTAAGCGACAGAGATGTCCGGCCTTCATCTACATGTTGCTCCATATAAATATTTTAAAAGTTATTATTTATCCATCAAATTTGTGAAAGAAGCTAGACTTTGAGGCTGCATCATACTTCTCTCCTTCATGTCATTTAATATTATTTTTTATTAAATTATTACTTACTATAATTTATAAATGAAAGATATGATGGACGGTGTCCGATCCTGATTTATTTATTTATTTTCTTACAAGATTAAAAATCCCTTCCACTTATTGAGATCAAAACAAAATAAAATGAAGATTAAAAATATTGTCAAATTAAGTAGGAACAATAAAAAAATTATTTTTATTATTAGCTTAACTTGTGTATATCTCAAAGCTCAACAAAATGGATGCTAAGCAAATATCAGAAATTTATTTGTGGCAATTGCAAATATAACACTCCAAATATTACTATTTACAAATTAAATTCCTCTTTCATTGATTTTTCAAATTTTCACCAAGTTTATATTTATTAATAGATTGTTTCAAATTCAGTGCATGTAATTATAGCATCATTTTAATATCATAAATTTATAATAGCTATTAAATGGGTATCCGATTGCATGTCCGCGCGTCCGCTGGGGAGACGAAGCAAATTTCCAACCACTCCGCTCGTGTTCGGATTATTGCGTGCGGACACCGCATGCATCTGCATGCGTGTTCGATCCTGATCGTAGATCACGGTGATCTCCGGTCAGGATTATTTTCGTTTTTTAAAAAAAAAATAAAAAATTTTAGGTGGGGCCACGGAAGCTCTCTCCTGTCGCCCTCATTTTCGTAGAAAACCCTAGCTCTGCTCAAGTTCTCAGAAAGAGTAAGGAATTCGAAGGCGGAGAAGATGTGGCCAGGAAGAGCCCCTCTGGTTTTTCTTGGTATTCTACTGCTGAGGAAGTCACCCGGGGATTGGATGGCTCCGGCCTCACCGCCATCGTAACAGGCATCGTCTCCTTCGCCTCTCTCTTGTTTCTGATGCTCCTCGGCGGTTTCACTGCCAAAAATATTAGTTTTGAATTAGGGCGTTATAGATATATGTTATGCTGGCTGGATTTCATCTTTGCATTTTTGAACTTGGTGGAGTGGCGATTAAACCTGTTTGGTCCGATAGAAAGACAACTTTTTTATTTGTTTTATTTTCGTTTGGTGAATTGCTTTTTTGAAGCCTTATTTTTTTAATGGTGGTTAGTGAAGTCTCTGTTTGGAAAATATACTGTTGTGCGCTAGATAATTCTCAACGGTTAAAAAACTTAAGTCCTAGCCCAATAGAAATATATAGTATTTATACAGCAAGATAAGATAGCTGGACTTCTATGTGAAAATCGCAGAAAATAAAGAATTATGGGGCCTGATTAAGTTGATATGTATCAAGTTTCAAGCCATACTTTTCCTTTAATTGGAGAATGAAAATCGCAGCAATTATAAAAGTATGAATATTTGTTTGTCCTTGTATTGCTACAACCGAGGTTGATAAACATCAATATTAGCCTTGTTATAAAGATTAGATGACAAGCATCTGTATATAATAACCGGGTCTTATTTATAGAATTTTGGGATAGACAGTTTAATAAATTTAGCCAAAATTTCAAAATACTCTATATGACTGTCCGTGATGATTCATTTGATTATATATATTGCCCTCCGAAATGAATGACATAGGATCGTAGGATTCCTCTCATTGAGCCGCCAATTAGATTATGAACATGCCAAGTTTAGAGATTATTCAGCCCTTGAATTAATAATTTGACGCTTCTAATTATGCTTTAATTGTTTGCCCTGGGTTCATTTGGATTCGAATTAGACTGCTATTTATGTGGTTAGGTTCATATTGTTTAGATGTTTGATGTGACTATAAATTTGTTGAAATCAACAAATGGATGACGCTGAGTTTATTTTAGGAAGTTCTTCACTTGATAATTGCAGCAAGTATTGTGCTTTATTGGATTAATTGTTTTGATACAAAAGCATACTAAATGAACTAAATATTTTTCTAAGAACATTAGGTTAGGTGACTTCCCAGAATTACACTCCTTTTGGATTATCTAATTATACTTATTTACATATTGATTAACATTAAAGATATGTGTACTAGAGCTATTAAGTGTGTTCAAACACAACGAGGATGACCAAATATTTTCTTATTTTTTGTTGAATTACATCAATGATCAACTTTAAGCCCATATGTCTTTGTTCTAGTTATGGATGTTCTTACTGTACATTTATAAGAGGATTTCTCTTGGTGCATGTTTTTCGCTAATGATATCCTTTTTCTGGATAAGATTAGAGAGACTTCAGGAAAATCTTGAATTATGGATGTCAACTTTAGAGTCTAAAAGCTTTCGTTTGCATATATCTACTACTGAATGCATGCAATGTAATTTTAGTAGTTGTAACTCTAGTGGTGAGGTTATAACATTGGGTGATCAAGTCATTAAAGGAGTGATGTTTCAAATAGCTTATGTCTATTGTTCAAAGTGATGGCGATACATATGAGGGTGTTTTTAGTAGTATTCATGTTGGATGGTTGAAGTGGAGGAATGCATTGGGCCTATTTTGTGATAGAAAAGTACCACTTTAACTTTTATAAGATGGTGGTGAGACTTGCAATGTTTTATGGTGCAGAATGTTGGCCTGCAAAAGAGAATCATAAAATTAAGTTAAGTGTTGTTGAAATGAGAATGCTCTGGTGGATGAGCACCTTTACACTTAGAGACAAAATGCGAAATGAATGTATTTGTGAAAGGGTTGGAGTAGCTTCAATGGTAGGCAAGATTAGAGAGAGTCGCCTTAGATGGCTTGGTCATATTAAGCGTCGACCATCTGATAATCCAATTAGGAGATTAGCTATTTTATATTTGGCTTATGCTAAGAAAGGTCAAGGTAGACATAAAATGAATTTGGTTTCTTGTATAAAAATTAATCATAATTTGTCGGAATTAAATGAAAATATGACACTCCATAGGATTCTGGAGAAAAATAGATTCATGTATTCTACCCCAATTTATGGGATAAAAGCTTGTTGTTGTTGTGTATATATATATATATATTATTTCAATCAACTCATATCTAAGTCACAATAGTTTTTACCAAACAACTTATGAAACACTCCAGCCAATAATTTTTTTTTAACATGATTATGCTAAACATATACTGAACTTTCACTGAAGTCATTGTTATTGCAGGGGCATCTAGTGGAATTGGACTTGAAACTGCCCGTGTACTAGCTCTGCGTGGTGTTCAGGTTATCATGGCAGTTAGAAGCTTGTCTTCAGGCAATGGTGTCAGAGAAACAATTTTGAAAGAGATACCTTCTGCTAAAGTTGATGTCTTGGAGTTGGATCTGGCTTCGAAGGAATCGGTTAGGAAGTTTGCTTCTGAATATAATTCCCTTGAACTTCCACTGAACATACTTATGTAAGGAATGACATGAATTAAATCCACTTCCATGATGTTTCCCTCTTGTTTTATTGTAGCTTTGGCATTTTTGTAACTGAGTTTTCTTTTTTTTGGTATTGGAAGTAATAATGCAGGAGTTATGGCTACTCCTTTCATGCTATCTCAAGATGGTATTGAGCTGCAATTTGCAACCAATCATGTTGGTATGTACTTAATTATTTCTTTTGTATTAGCCTTATCTAGCATCTCCATCTAAAGAATGTTAATAGTTAATGCTATTATTTGTTTTTTCATATGAAGAATTGTTTTAATTATTATATCGATGATTTATTAAAAATTTGCATAGTCTATTGGTAATCAATTCTTTGGTCGTCATTTAAGTTGGTAGAGCTTTTTCTTTACTTTCAAAAAAAGTTTGTTCGGGAAATTGGTTTGTGAACCAGTATACCTTGGAACCATAAAAACATCATCGACTGAGGGCATTGGCGCCGTATAAATAAATTTGTAAAACAAAGAAAAAGCATATTTGAAGGTCTTGTATGCGTTTGCTATCATGCAGATGCCTGAACTAGTGAGTATTTTATAATTACCCGAATGTTGCTGTTATAAAATTGGGAAGTTTACATACATAGCTCACAATTCTTATGTATTTACATATCTAAAACCCATAGTATGATATGTATACTTATAAAACCTTGGTGTCATAAACTGATAAACCATACATAAAAAGCTGTATTTCACTTTAAACAGATACTGATAGTGGAATTTTTTATGTGATGCCTAGGTGTTAGATATGCAAATATATAAGAATTGTGTGGTATGAAGGTTTCGATTGATACATTCTTTTGGTATGGTTTTCTATATTTATTCACTGGTTGGTATTAAAGTATCTGTTTTTCAGGGCATTTTCTGCTGACACATCTTCTACTGGAGAATATGAAGAAAACAGCTCGTGACAGTAAAATAGAAGGAAGGATTGTCAATGTTTCCTCTGAGGGGCATAGATTTGCTTATAGAGAAGGGATTCGCTTTGACCGGATAAACGAGCGATCAGAGTATGTCCACCAATTTTTTTATAAATTACTTCCTACCTTGTATTCAATAAAATTGCAAAATTTGAAGCTAGAATATGCAACAAATTGAATTACTGAATTAACTTGATAACTCGTTAAACCTACATACATACCTACGCGCGTGCGTGTGTGTGTGTTAAAGAAAATTTAGTTTACAGTTGTAGAATTTGTCTTTTCATCGCGACAGTGTTTTAATGCACAATTTATTGTATGAAAAAAAATAATATTAATTAATTTCCAATTTCTTTGATACTAATTGAGCCATTAAATTTTCATTTTATCCTATTTTGTTGCAGCTACAGCACCCTTGGTGCTTATGGGCAGTCAAAGCTTGCAAACATTTTGCATGCAAATGAACTTGCAAGACGCTTTAAGGTACTTTTGTATGCTCAGTTTTGGTCAGTAATAATATATTGCTTTAAATGAGCACAAGATTCTTATGTATTTACATATGTCACCCCTAAATTTTCATATTTACATCATAAAACTTTTGTGCTTTAAATCTATTTCAAGAAAATGTGTATGTCACTTTCAAAAAGTTGTGGTAATGTTATTTTTTATGTGATATTACAGGTTTAAATGATATGTGTGTAAATATGAATGTTTGGGTGTAAGATATGTAAATAGATAAGAATTGTGTATGTAAATGCCCTTGCTTTAAATATATCTGAAAAATCTTTTTTTTTTTTAATGAAATATGCTCATAGTTTATGATGCAAGTTATCAAGGTTTATGGTTTATCAGTGTAAAGGTTGTAGATACTATGAAGACAATCACATGTCAAGGCTACAGGATCTTATGTACTTTCGTGGTCAATTTTGCGTAGTTTATTTTGTTATCTTATATCTTGAATTGCTACATATTTTTTTCTTTTGCTTTTTTGTATATTTTGTGGATTCCTTCGACTTTTTAACAAATATTTTGTCATCAGTTATAAGCTAGAAAAATTCGTTCTCTTTCTTTGAAATACATAGTCTATGCTATTTTTGGATGATTGCTCATTTGATTGCTTGAAGTTTGAAATCACATTTCAAAAAATGATAAAATTTATTAATCCAACATTCAGGTGGTTGATAGACATCAATATTGACTTCAACGTACACAAACATTCTAAAAATTTTGAAGTTATGATGTTATTTTCAGCAGCAACAACAACAACAAGCCTTTAGCCCACTACTAAGTGGGGTCGGTTACATGAATTTTTTTTCTCCATTGTGTCCTATTGAGCACCTTATTTTCATTTAATTCTAATAAATTAAGATCTTTTATTATACAACATGCCCAAGTCTTTTTGGGCCTACCTCTACATTTCTTATCATAAATTGAATCTAAAACATCTACTCTTCTAACTGGATCATCAGATGGTTCACATTTAATGTGACCAAACCTTCTAAGAGGCTCTCTCTAATTTTATCTACCACTGGAGCTACACCAACCCTTTCACGAATATAATCGTTTCGTATTTTGTCTCTAAGAGTCAATACACTCATCCAACTGAGTATTCTCATATCAACAACATTTATGTGAGTATTCTCATATCAACAACATTAATCGTTTCGTATTAATGTGACCAAACCGTCTGAGTATTCTCATAACAACAACATTTAACTTAGTTTTATGCTTCCCTTTTATGGTGAAAAATAAAAGTATCATTATTTCTAAAATATAATTTTCTATTTAAAGCAACCAAATGAGCCTTGAAGCAAATCCCATGTGTTTAGAATTGGCCACGCCAATAGTAATGGTGTCTCTTTAAATGTTCCTGTCATGAAATGGAGTTGCTCCCGACTTTGATTATATGTGCTGTACACTTTTGCTTAGAAACTTGCATCAGGTTAATAACTCTTTTTTTACTTCTTGCTTTTAACAGGAAGATGAGGTGGATATAACTGCAAATTCTCTTCATCCAGGATCAATTATCACTAACCTTCTGCGCCACCATAGTTTCATTGATTGTAAGTTAGTCTGCTCATCTTTGTGTTTGGTAAATTAGCTCCTGCTAATATGTTACTACTATCGTCAAGGATGTAAATGAGTTGAGTCGAGCTCAAGTCACCCCCAGCTTGATTATTTAATTGAGTTCGAGCTCAAGGTCGAGCTTAATTCTGTGAGCATGAGTTAGCTCACAAGTCGGCTTGTTTATCACGAAAGAGAGAAAATTGTATTAATTCAAACTAGTCTTATAATAAAATGACAAATATAATGAAAATTTAGGAGGTAAATAATAAGAAATCATTTGAATAAAATTTAAAATGTATTATTTTTAACAATTTTGACAACTTAGAAATAAAATTTTGAATTTTAATATATTTTGTGTATGCTTTATATTAATATTTCGTTTAAACGAGCTAGCTCACGAGTTAATTAGTTAAGTCAGGGCTAGTTTGAGACTTGCTAGCTCATCGAGCTCAACTCGCAAGCCACTTATTGGTCTGAGCCCAAGCTGGTTCACGAGCCGGCTTTGGCTCAGTTACACCCCTACGTGACTTGTGTTTTTATTTCTTATGAATATGAAATAAGATTTTTTTTTCTTAATTTTGTGTAAGGAGATACTTATGATTGTGGTGATTATGCGCAAATCAAATTTATGAGAAGTATAATGAAGTTATTGCTGAGCGTATTGATTTAATCCTACATTCAATTAAGTCATTTAGAATTAATCATTTCAATCATTTTTCTTGCAGGGAGTACTAAAAGGTTGTTCTTATAAATTTCTTTAGCCTTGAAAGGTCATATGTGTAACATCACATTAAAATCAAAGTTGATGGATTAATCATCTCCATCATTTTCCTAAACTTTTTTTAATATATTTTTCCAAATTAAAACATAATTATTTTCATGTTTAGGGTTATACTTGGTTTCCTTCTGCTTACGTTATCTCTCAGCATTATGCTCTAATTCCAGGTTTTATTTCTTGAGTTAACATTATATGAAATTAAATTCCTTTTTCTAATTTGTTCCAGTTCTGTCTCGCACTCTTGGGAAGCTGGTTCTGAAAAATGCTCAACAGGTTAGCCTAAACTTTTATTCATACATACCACTCAATTTCTATGTATTTGCATATCTAACTCCTAGACTTTAATTTTTTACATAACATACCGCCTTACCCATGCATGGAAGGTTTTAATTCATTTTCTAAAGGTTAAATAGGTGGTATTTTTGACGTGATATTAAAGATTTGGGTGGCACAGGCGTAGATCGTAAAGTTTAGGTGTGAGATATGTAAAATTATAGGAATTGAGGGGCATATATGTAAATGCTCATTTATTTATTTGTTTAGCCATTGCCATATGATTTCATCTTGTTAACAGGGAGCAGCAACAACATGTTATGCGGCACTGCATCCTGATGTCAAGGGAGTTAGTGGAAAATACTTCAATAACAGCAATATAGCAGATCCAAGTGCCAAAGCCAAGGATGCTGATTTAGCCAAGAAATTGTGGGACTTTAGCATGGAACTCATCTAATCTTTGGAAGATTTACATAAATACCATTCCATTCCTATGTATTTACATATTTACCACCTATACTTCAAATTTTACAAGAATGCCACGTTACCTATGCATGAAGATGTTTTTTTTCTCGTTTTTAATGTTAAAATGGTGATATTTTTGATGTGATACGAAAGATTTGGTGGTATTAATGTAAAACGTATAGTTTAGGCGTTGGATATGTAAATACATAGGAATTGGGTGTTATGTGTGTAAATGACCCTTTACTGATTTGGAAAGTCTGTGTTGTCATATTTAATTCTGGTGAAAATAGATAATTGTCGATGAGAGGGTTATGTGCTGCTGATGGATTATACTTTAATTAAATCATGATTAGAGTTGGTTAAGAGTTAATTAGGACTAAATTAAGGTTTTATTGTTATTGAAGCTTTTGAATGGGAAGGTGAGAGTGTTAATTATAAGCTTATTACTATTAAGTTAATTAGAATTAAGGATGAACAAAGATAATTGATGTAACATAACTAATTAACTCCATTTCACAGAGTTTAAGGATAAGAGATTGTATAAATCGGGCTTTCTTTGTAATTCAATATTTAAAGGTTTGTTGTTTTTTTTTTTTTTACTTTTATTTTATTTTATTTTAAAAATATGCTTTTTATTTGTACTTTTTTACATATATTTATTTTTTATTTCTAAAAATAAATTAGCTTATTTTTTAAAGCATTCAAATCATTTAAATTATTTTAAATGTTTTTTTAAATTATGTAAACATGTTATAATGTACTAAATACATTTTATATCAATCAAAAATATAAATAAATAAAAAAATTAAAATTAAAATTAAAAGTGAACCCAAATCATAAGCCTTTTTATTGTTAATTATTTATAGTGAATTCTAAACTTTTTTTTTTTTTTTTGAAAAATAATTCTAGTTTTTTAAAAGATCTGTGATATCTCTCCTCCTCCAAACAATAAAAGGAGCATTTACATATAAATACAGCACAACATTCATGTATTTAGATATTTAACATATAAACTTTAAATGTTTCCCAAGATATGGGAATTTACATAAATATCAAACAATTATTATGTATTTATATATCAAACACTTAAGCTCTGTTTGGGGCAGCTTATCCACTGCGGTGACGTTTCGAAAATGCCTTCTCACCGTTTAGAAACTGCGTTTGAGCAACTTATTCAAAAACACATTGATTTCTTATACTAAATGCAGAAAACGGATCAAAACCCGTGATCTGCGTTTCCATATAAGCGGCTTATCTAGATATGCACAAGCTGCCCCAAACTCACCCTTAAACTATCATATTTGTATGAATAACACTATAATATTTATATCACATCAAAATTATCACTTTTACCTTTTTTTTTTTTAAGTGAAATACCCCTTCTAATGAATATTTCTACACAAATTTATTTTTTTAACCCTAACAAAAAAAATTAAAATTAATAATTTTATCTGCCATGATAATGTGGAAGAAAACTGGCATGGAACATGGTTTTCTAAGGATCGTTGAACCTAAAAGCTCAAGGTCAACGAGCATATGATGTTATTGTAAAAAAATTTAAAAAAAAATAATAATTCCTAATTATTCTTTTTAATTATTTTTGCAAATAAAATGTAAAAAAAAATTGAGCCAAAAAATCTGATTCAAATTTAGCAGAAAGAGATTTTCTAACCATTTAATTTATTTTAATATGAGTAAACCATAAATTGTAATTTTTTAATTACATATTATACCATATTAAAATACAAAAATAGAAAAAACTTAGATACATGCCCCTTAATTCTTATGTATTTAGACATCTTATTACTAAACTTCAATTTTTAGATTCATTTCATTTTATTTATGTATGAAAATATATATTTTATATTTTAAAAATAAAAATAATAATAATATTTTTTATGTGATATGAAAAGTTTGAGCGGTGTAATCGTAAAAATACAAAATTTATCACTTAAAATAATTAAGCGAAGGATATTTTTTTTAATTATAGATTTTAAAAAAATGAAAATCTAAACCACTGATATAAATTTAAAATATTTAATTAAGGAAATAGAAATATAGTATCACAACAACCCCAAATAATTGTTTTGTTTGTTTCTTCTTAGTAGCCCATGAGTCAGGCCCCTGCAATTAGTTTCATGTCAATTTCGTATCAAATCAATTGCCTTATAAGAAATTATGTGGTAGGTACCCATTCTTTTCATATACTTTAAAATATGGAAAATTATATCATTTCAATTAAATGATGGAAGATTTACATATATACCCACCACTCAATTCCTATGTACTTATATGTGCAACACCCAAATTTTAGTTTTTATATATATGTCATATTATATATACATGTGTACATCATGAATGTGTAAACACGAATCCCGAGGAAATCTAATGATTCATAAGGAAGTACAACAAATGAGGGTCAATCAAAATGAGACTAAGAGGCAAATAAACATCCAAGATAGTTGAGTCACAAAAGTGATAAAAAGAACAAACCGAGTCTGAATCTATCAATCCAGAACAAGACAAATAAGCATATAAGCTAAACACCACGAGAAAGTGGAACGAAGGTATTAAACTAACTCTTGATAAACTAACTTGAGGAAAGAATCTTGTTCCTCGTCATCAAAAGTCATCCCACGGACGCTCCGAGGTTTCTCGTTAGGGACCAAGAATTGTCAACACGATAGAGCCTCGCAATAAACAATGACAACAATCTGATGATTTACTTTCTGCTTGCTTACAAATCCTAATTGTTAAGTTTTTATTGTCATTTTATTTATGCCGGCTCAGTAGTCTCTTAGTGTTGATGACCATTATTAGTCTTTATCATAAACAGGATGTAATACTTGGATGGCACTTCAAAATTGAAATTGGGTTTAATTTTTTATTAGCTTCTAAGTTGAGCTAACTTTAGACATTTTTGTACTCTTTCTTTTCATTTAGTTAAATTTCTTTTGTTAGCTCCTTATTTTATTTTTAGTGCACTTAAGTAAAATATGAGTGTTGCATTTGAGAGATATTCACCAAGTTTTTTTTATAAATTAAATAAGACTCAGGATATGTTTGGGGCAGCTGCAATTTTTCCAGTTTATGCTGATAAACAGCTGATCCTGATAATCTGCTGATGGGCAGCTGATCTGAATAAGTTGGTTGATTGTTTGGTTTGTGCGTTTGGAAAACAGCTTATTCTGGATAAATGACCACTCTGTCCCTGTTCTGGATAAGCTGTTTAGCTGTTTGTTTTGTGTGTTTTGTAGACAACTTATTCACAGATTTTTTTAGTTGAATGAATAATCTATCACGCAGAATTTGTTATTTTCGCAAATGTCATGACATCAAAATGCAAAAGAGTTGAATAACATTTATATAACTCAAAAAGTTCCGATTACATCAACTAAGCACAGTGACATATACGAAAATGAAATACACATTCATACACTAATATGGATTATAATATAACCCAAAAAAGTAAAAAATCCATGTTAAAATTACAAGAAAAAAATGACAATATTGACTTTAAAATGTAAAAGTACATCACGACGAATGTTGCCCGGTTCTGATACCTTAAAACCCCAAGCAAACCTGTCCAACTGGGATATCGTAGAAACAGAAGCACTCGAGCCACATGCAGTGGTCTCCCGTTGTGGTACTATCAAACTCCGAGCAGCTGTGTCCAATTGGGATATCATAGAAACAATTTATACTTTATGCCACTTATTAAAAACATCACTTTCATTTCATGCCACAAAATCACAATTTATACTTCATGCCAACAATTCATAAAGTACTTATTAGCAGTTGTGCATTGAAAACAGATGCAGCTTACAGAGGTATCAGATGCAAATAACAAAAAAAACAGTATAGTGCAAATATAGTGCAAATATAATAACTCAGAAATGGAGGCTATGCCAAACCAAAAGCAGTATAGGGCCAACCCATATAAAATAGCAGTTATGAACATTTTTGAACATTGGAACATAAAATAAAATGGAATCGAACAATTCCAAGAAACCACAAAATAGCACAACTCATAAAACATAACATAGTAGTTGTTGCTCCAAATCTAATTGAGCAGTGGAAACCATTCGACAATGTGTGGACATCCCTGAAGAAACATGAAACACAACCCGGAAAACTGTGAAAAACTTCAATCACGAATGACTGATATCATCTGCTATTTGTTCTTGTAAAGTCGTCATCTCGGATGCATCTTCACCTTCTCGAGTGCATGCATCATGTGAATCCAATTCTTCGTGTGACGTTGTACGTCCCACATGGTATTCGAATGTTTCAGGTGGGATTTGCACTGAATCATCTTCTAGAACGGCGAACTCCGTATCATATCTGAAATGATGACATCGGATGAAATTGTGTAGTGGCATTGTGCCAACAATTATTTGTACTTGCTTTGGAAAAGGGTAAGCCGGTATATCTCGTAATATGACCCACTTCCTCTTCCACACTCCGAACGCTCTTTCAATTACGCCGTGCAATGAATAGTGTCTTTTGTTAAATAACTCTTTCTTGTCTCGTGCTACACCACTAGATCTTTCAAAATCAGGAATGTGGTACTTCGTATCTGGATAGGACTTTAGATATCCCCTTTGTAATGGATATCCGACGTCAACCAAATAGTATTTACCAAGAGGTGGGCACAAAAATCTATGTCTCAAGTTTCTAGTAGCGAACTTGAAAACACGACTATCGTATTGCACATGTTAAAAAGGTAAAGCACATGTTAAAAACACACACTACCATATTGTGTGGGGTCGTCGCACTGGCCGATGTACTCAACTTTATCTGCACTAAATAGGCGTGCATTGACGTGTGTTTCATCAATAGCTCCAATACAGTCCTAGAGTTACAGTTAAATTTTTTTTAATCTTTCATGTAATAAAAGTAGACGTATGAATATAGTGGTAAAGGCTGACCTTAAATAATGACACGTACCGAGGGTCATTTGCAATTTGTGAAGGAATTGAATAGAACGTTGGATCCTCGGGTTTCACTACCTTATTGGTCAAACTCACCAGAGAGTTCAACCGATTGAGAAATATCAGCTGATGGT